AACTTTTTCAAATGCTATGGTTTTAAAAACATTCAGGTCGTAACCCACATTTAACAAAAACCAGTCCCACAAAACACCTTTATAAATTAAAACATTGGGTGTTACCATTAAGCATTAATAAATCCATAGCAAGAAAATAGGAATTACATCAATACAAAATAATAAGGAACTTATCAAGTTCCACTCCATTCTCTATAACTTGACTTCTAACTTCCATCTATCATCCTCTCTCCTTAAAGGTAACCTGAGATACATGGAATTAAAAAGAGATATGTAAGACAATAATGTCTCGTGACCTACGTGGGTTTGTGACTCAAAACATTTATCACATTTTTACCAAAAACATTTCATCTTTGCAAAACATAGTTTTAGACCATAAAACATTTTCAAGCATTTTCAAGGAAAACTCATTTCATACATGTCATAAATATCATTTCATATCTTATCATTTCATTTCCTTTCATTTCATTTCAAAATCCATATTTCCATATTTCATTTTCTTTTATCATTAAGGGCTAATTCTGGTATTAAACCGTTGCCATTTTTATACTTAGGGTCTACGTCCAATAAAGGAACCACTCCCAAGTCTAGACCAAGGTGGAAAGAACAAATCAATCCACCAAGGCATCATTTCCATTAGGACATCTATCTCGCAAAGGGGAGGCGCCACCCCGATAGATTCCTCTAGTGCCTCTTACAAGGTATCATGGCTCGGGCAGTTTTCATTTCATTACTTTCCAATTCCTTTCATTACTTTCCATTCCTTTTCATTACTTTACATTTCTTGTCATTACTTTCCATGCTTTACACATTTCATACATTAGTATCATAAACTCGTTTCAAAAGTAAAGCATCTATATTTCAAAACATTTCAAACACTTTTTCAAAACATTCGATTTTCCAAAACATTCTTTACTTTCAAAAACATTCTTGCCTTCAAGGCATTCTTTCAAAACATTCTTTTCAAAAGCATTTAATACTTTCATTTCAAAAACATTTAGTATATCAAATAACTAATATTTCTTTATCATAAAAATCATTTTCTCATGTACCCCAAAGTGGGGAAAATGCCAACACGTGCTCACCTCAATCACACATAGGTTTAGCTAGTGCTCTTCTAATTCCTTTCAAACACTACCTACACCATATATGGACATAAGTCATTAAAATTACCAAAATACCCCTCAAAGGTCCAAATACTAAATTTTATTGCTTCATACTATTCCTCATGAAAAACTATGAACGTAGGTGAAAACCGTACGTAAATCCGAGTCCGTATGCAAAAGTTATGAAGAAAACAAGACAATCTCCAAATCAGTGAATTACACGGGCCGTGTAAATTAAAGCATGCATTTACACGAGCCGTGTTTTCATGTCTGCACACACACAAAACTCGATTTTCCTCAAAATAACAATATACTTTGCATACTTATTGAAGACCCTTTTCCAAATCACTTTGTACCATTTATTTAGGTCCTCACAAATGATTATGAGGTGTTTTATCATCCAAACGCACCCCACTTAATCAATGAAGTGCTCATTGAAACCATTAAGGATATGATGATCCTTAAGTTCAATTGAAATTTTAACTAGTCCAATTTCCAATTGTACATTCTAAAATTCACATAGTTTGTTCCTAACTCATTGAACACTCATATGAAAGTTGTCAAGTACATCAAACCACATTAATCTCATTGTAAGTACATAAACTAACAATGGAATCCTCAATTTCATTCCATGTTTCCCAAATTTCCCTTATAGCCAAACAATCACTAGAACCGTTTATAGATCAAGAGATCCTTCATGTTTATGTTTGAATATCATATCTAGAGTTTCAATTCATGTTCATGAATGTCATTCACTTCTTATATGTCAATCAACATATAGTTATCCCTAGATTTCCCAAAATACACTTATGACCAATTATTCCATATATCAATCTAGGAATCAAGCAACACCTTATGTTTTGATTTCAAATCATTACAAGAGTATCCATTCATAATTATGAACTTCATTTACCCATCAATCTCTCATCTACAAAGGACTCCATTGGTTTCATCATATTGTCCCCAAAACCATTTCAACCCTAACTTATACATGATTCTACCATCATCGATGTGTTTGAGCATTCTAATTGGATTCATTGTCATCAAACAACATATAGGTCATAGAATACAATAAAATTTCATCATCAATTGCAAAATCCCCAATTTGGGTTTCTAGGGTTCATGAGGGTTTTCACCCAAATCCTCAAATCCATCAATAGGGTGATTGTATTGAGATTGGGATCATCAAAACAACTTAATGGAGGTTAGAAAACAAAACCTTAACCCATACAAGAAGCTAAATTCGAAATTGAGGTCAAACTCACTTCACAAATCCGAATTCTAGGTGAAAATGAGAAGAAATTATACCTTGAACCACTTGATTTCTTCACAACTTGCAACAAATGGACCAAGAAGGATTGAGATCGGCCCCTAGGGTTTCTATTGAGCTTGAATCACCATCCAACCTCCTCTCTTCTCCTCCCATCGTTCTTGTTTGGCTGAAATGAAGAGGAAGCAATCTTATTTTCGGATTTGTCATATTTGGTCCTTCTAGTTTACATCTTTTGCCAAATTTACCATTTCTTCATTATTTTCACATTTTCTTAAAAGGTTGACATAATGAGTCCTTGACCATCCCATTCTTAACATTCCTCATCCATTTAACCTTGGTGAGTCAACCTTTGGTCAAACATACTTTTCCAAATTGACACTTTGGGTCCCTTAACTTTGAAATGTTAACATCTCAACTTTTAACTTTGCAAGCTTCATATTGACTAATAATATGATTATCATTTAAATGATTTAATTATATAAATCATTTTTCATTTATTTACTTTATTAATTTAAGAACCCGGTCGTAAATTTTAGGATGTTACATAGGAGGTGATGAAGGTTGAGGGTAAAGGAAAGCCTAGCTCCTCACTTCCTTTAAATAGGGTCCAAGTCCAGAAATTAGTGTTTGCCTCAAATCAGGTGTTACGTCGTGACCATCATGGTGTCACGTCGTGACACTTAAATGATACTTCCTGTGTTATGCGGCCATGTCACGACGTGACGATGCTTCCCTCACTTCGTGACCCACCCAAAACACATATTTTACTTAAAAATCTCATACCTCGAGGATCTGGATGTTACACTTATCAAAGACAGTACGTAGTTGTTTGTAAGTGAAATCCTATATCACTTTACCCCATGGGTACATTTGTCAGCAATTGCACTTAATAAGTATATGTATCATTTCATATAATTTATGTAAATAACTTTATACATGTTAAACTCGACTAAATTAGAGATGATTCCAATAAGTTCATTACTAACCGGCTGTCGAGGGTATTTCCCCAAAAATATCTACTCTAGCATATACAATAGGAAGACTCTCACCGCGTCTGCATCACCTAATTTATGAAGTAAGTCACTGAACACATGCATAAGGTTATCCATTCTCACCTTACATGAAGGCCACACAAATGGAAATACATATTGTCTGAACTGAGCAAAATTAGAACGAGGGGGGAGAGGGGGAGGGGGAATAGTCCCCAAACCGCAACCCGGTAATCATGCAGAATGCTTTCCTGTCGAAGCAAACCCGATATTCGTGTATCGGAAATAAAATCTCTTGGACGTCAACTGGATCATTTGCAGTATATTACTTTACATAAGATAGTAACAGAGTAAAGGGTGGCATTCCACACCCATCGGCATGTTCACATAATCACCAAAACAAGAATGCCTAAACATGGTCGCACAAACTCCTATGTTTTGTAAACGAGTCATGATTTCCCGCCCAAGTTTAGGCGTGCAGGTTGTAGTCACAACCAATTTGTATGTTCTGTCATGACACAATCAAAGAATCATTAATTAGGGAATTTAGCATGTATGTTATGGAGGAAATTCTGGAATACAGTATACGAGACAACTTTTTCGGATCAAATTCTGGACCACTCTTCCAGAATCCTTTTTTGGAAATGGATTTCGGATCAAAATTCTGGATAATAACAATTTGGATCCATATTTCGGAACTGTTCATCGTATTCCGAATGAGTTCTTAGTATTCCGAAGGTGTTTTACGAATTCTGGATTCGTTCCGAACGAGTGAAAATGAGTATATTTGTAAGAATTTTTGATGTGGCATACATATATAAGTAAATGTAATCATATAATTGTCTTTAAACTACAAAAAAATCATAAAAAACAAATAAAACCTATATAATTGCATAACTTATATAATTGTTAACATACAATCTGCAGTAAAGATAAAAGGTCCGGCGATTTCGGGTCTCTCTTTCCGGCGTCTTCATCATTTTCCGACGGGATTAAACGTCGGGGTTTTTTTCTCCTGTGATTATTTTTGGCGACATCAATGGTTGGGAATGGTTCTGGGAGTCGGTCTCGAACTCAGGTCGGCAACCTGCAATTGATTGAAAAGGTTTCTTCCCCGTTTTATGTGACGAATTTTCTTGTTGATTTCAGAGTGAAGGAATTATGGGATGCATGTGCGAAGGTGGGGACGTGGCTGATGTTTACATTGCAAAGAAGCTATCCAAATTAGGTAAACGTTTTGCCTTTGTTCGTTTCATTAAAGTGTCAGATGAGAAACTGTTGGAAAGTAAGATTAGAGATATTTGGTTGGGTTCATACCATCTGTTTGCTTCAGTAGCACGTTTTCAGCGAGAACCTGATCATAAGGGGTAGTCTAATTCACATGTGCATGGTGATCAGGTGGTGTTGAAACTTAATGGGCAGGGGCTTGGATCCTATACGACTGTGGTTAAGGGGGGCAAGGGCATGCATGGGCTGAAAGGGCCTAAACCTAATGTTTGTACTATGTCTGGGAAAGAGATATGCAATAATTTGTCCTTCAAGGCTTCGATTTTTGTGAAACTCAGGGATATTAGGTTGATTCAAAATTTGTTTGTGTTATTGAAAGAATAAGGTTTTGATGATCTGCAAATCATGTATGTTGCTAGTGATTGGGTATATTTGACATTTTTATCTGAAGAGGTTTGCGCCAGGTTCAAGAAATGTAATGGTATTAAGGCCTACTTCTCTTTGTTTAGGCCGGTTGTAAATGGGTTTTTTGTTAAGGAAAGAGTTGTGTGGATTGAGATGATTGGGTTGCCTTGTTGTGCATGGAATGAAAATGTTGTTTCTAAAGTGGCTAGCATGTGGGGTGATGTATGTTTTCTAGATGATGATGGGGATGCTCTATTGGCAATCAAGAGGGTGTGTATTAGGACTTCTAAGTCGGATTTGATCCATGAGACAGTTAAATTGGTTGCCCAAGGTATTGAGTATGATGTGGCAGTTCGTGAAGTTTCTAATTGGGAACCAGATATATTGCAAGAGGGGGAGGTGGGCTCGGATATTCCAGACTTGTCGGATGAAGAAGAAGCCAATGATTTTTTTGGTGAAGATGTGTGTGATCTACAAAAGGATTGTTAGGGGGTAAGGGTGATGAGGAGGTGGCAGATTCTTTTAATGTAGACAACACTCCAAATTTAGTTGATCGAGGAGCCGGTTTTGTAGATAAAAAAGGTCATTTTTTTCAAACTAGTGGAAGGAAGAAGAAGGTGGATACATGCTTTGAAGATGATGAGTGGGTCAAATCGATCCCGGTTGATGCATCGGTGAAGTCGCCGACTAGGCCCGAGAGGGTTTCTTCGCCGGCTGAGGAGGAAGTTCGACATGGTGGAGTAGTGGGGGTGAGGCTTCAGAATCTTTATCTCAACCTCCAGGGTTCCAGCGTGAGAAGCTACATGAGAATTTTAATCTTAACGCCTCGGCATCGAGATCCTCTGGTTCACATGTTTCTTCTATGTTGTTAAAGAAGAAAGTTCTGATGGGTGTAGAAGATATCGAGGATGTCTTAAAACAATACTTTGAAATGGGTGATCTTCTTGGGTATGACATGAAATCTCATAAGGATAAGGTTTCTAAAATCTTGTCTAGCATTGGTGTGGTACAAGTGGATAGATGAATTGCCTATCTTTGAATATTTATGGTACCTAAACGTCTCTAAAAAGAAGTTGGATTCATTCATTGTGTATCCAGAATGGGGTGTCATTTCTAAGGTTACAGGAGACTAGAATGACAAAATTTGATTTGTTCAAAGTTAGTAGTATGTGGGGTAATCATTGTTTTGATTTTGCGTGTAATTATGCTCGGGGTCTCTCAGGGGGGTATTCTTTCTGTTTGGGACCCTAATGTGTTTGTGAAAAGCAGTGTTCATTGTACGGATAATGTGGTTATATTTGGAGGAGTTTGGGTTCCTTTTAGTTTTCCTTGTTACATGGTTAATATTTATGCTCCTCAAGGTGTCCGGGAGAAATTTGACTTGTGGCAATATCTTAAGGATTTTAAAAGGAGGAATGGGGGAATTACGTGTTTTTTGGAGATTTTAATGTTGTTAGGGAGGTGACTGAAAGAATGGGGTCAGTTTTTTTTTGTCCTATTACGGCTTCTACTTTTAATGATTTTATTGATGATATAGGTCTCATAGATGTGCCTATGATTGGGAAGCGGTTCACTAGAATCGATGCTATTGGTTCCAAGTTAAGTAAGTTGGATAGGTTTCTGGTGGATGAAGCTTTTTATGATAGATTTGACCACCTTCAAGTTTCGGTTCTTGATAGAAGGTGGTCTGATCATTGCCCTATTTTCTTGCATGTGTCTTTGGTGGATTATGGTCCTTCATCATTTAAATTCTTCAACTCTTGGTTAGAGCTTGATGGGTTTAATGATATGGTGAAAGATGTTGTCAAGGAGTTCGTGGTTGACAGGTCTTGGAGTAAGTTTGTTGTGTTCAAAAATAAACTTAAATTCTTGAAAGACAGGATAAAAAAATGAATTGCGGGTTATAAGGAGGAATCTAGAGTTTCTAGTAACCGTCTCTTATCTAGATTGGTTGATATTGATAACAACTTCGATGATGGTGGCTCGTGTGATGATTTGGCTCGGGAGAGAAGGGCTATTCTCAGTGATCTGGCTTCCTTGGAAAAGTCTCGGTCTCTTGATTCAGCCCAAAAAGCTCGATTTAAATGGGCTATCGAGGGGGACGAGAAGTCAGCTTTTTTTCATTCCATGTTGAAGCAACGAAGACGTCAGAGACTTATTAGAGGCATCTCTATTGACGAGGAGTGCGTTGCGGACCCCCCTCTAGTTAAAAAAACCTTTTATGATTTTTATGCTTCTAAATTCCAACCTTTTAAGGGAGTTTCGATGGGTCGTAAGAGTGATAGATTCAGATCTCCTGATCCGGGCACGGCTAATTCTCTAGATTCAGTGTTCTCTAGTGAAGAGATCAAGAGTGCGGTCTGGGATTGTGGGCTGGACCGGGCGCCGGGTCCAGATGGATTCTCTTTCCGGTTTCTTAGGAATTTTTGGGAGATTTTGGGTGATGATGTTGTGGCTTTTGTGCAGGAATTTTGTGTCAATCCTAGATTTCCCATTGGGTGTAATTCTTCTCTTATTACATTGATTCCTAAGATTGACAACCCTATTCGTATCAACGATTATCGGCCTCTTAGTCTCAATGGCATGCAGTTTAAGATAATTGCTAAACTGTTGGCTAATAGGTTAGCACCGGTCCTGCATGATGTTATTGGGTTGGAGCAATCTGCTTTTCTCAACTCCAGGCAAATTCTAGATGGTCATCTTCTTGTGAATGAGATGGTTCGGTGGTTCAAGCACAAGAAGAAGAAATTGATGATTTTTAAAGTTGACTTTGAAAAAGCGTATGATTCTGTTAGTTGGGATTATATTGACAGGATTATGATGTTTCTTGGTTTTGGGGAAAGATGGAGGGCTTGGATTAGGGGGGATGTTTTCTAATGCTCGTTCCTCAGTACTTTTGAATGGTTGCCCTACGGATGAGTTTCAGTTGTTTAGAGGGTTGAGACAAGATGACCCTTTGTCACCGTTTCTCTTCATTATTGCTATGGAGGGCCTTCATATTGCTATGGAGGATGCGGTGTCGGAATGTGTGTTTAGGGGGGCCCAACTTGAGTCACATGATTTAGCTATCTCTCATTTGTTTTATGCAGATGATGTTATTTTTCTGGGAGAGTGGAATGAGAATAATGTCCGAAATTTTATTCAGGTGTTGAGATGTTTTTATTTAGTCTCGGGTCTAAATCTCAACCTTTCTAAATCTAGTCTATATGGCGTGGGGGTTGGTAGGTCTGAAATCACCAATCTCGCTTCTTTTACAGGCTGCTCGGCTGGATCTTTTCCGTTTGTGTATCTTGGTGTTCTGGTTGGCGAATCTATGGTGCGTGTTAAAGGATGGCAAATAATTATAGATCGCTTCCAGAAGAGATTGGCGTCTTGGAAAGCTAGATTGTTATCTATTGGTGGTCGTTTAACTCTTGTTAAGTCAGTCCTAGGTAGCCTTGGTATTTATTACTTATCTATTTTTAGGCCTCCTGTTGCTGTCTTGCATGCTTTGGAGAATATGAGGGCTTGTTTTTTTTTTGGGTATGGAAGAGGGTCAAAAATGTATTCATTGGGTTAAGTGGAATTTGGCGTTAAACTCTTTTGACCATGTGGTTTGGGTATTGGTAGTTTAGATGCTTTTAACCTGAGTCTTTTATATAAATGGAAATGGAGATTCTTTAATGAGCCTGAAGCCTTATGGGTGAAAGTTTTAAAGTTTTTTTTATGGTGAAGGGGGAGGTTTTTCTGGGGGCTTGAGAATACAAAGTGGTGGTGGTGTTTGGCAAAATATTGTTGGGTCTATTAATTATCTTCACGATAGTGGTTTACTGCCTTCGAATGCCATGGCTAGAGTGACCGGGAATGGAGCTGCTATTCGGTTTTGGCACGATGTGTGGTGCTTGGATGTTCCTATTATGGTTCAATTCGGAAGATTGTTTGCACTAGCTTCTAATCAAAATTCTTTAGTTAGAGACTATTGGTCTCCGACAGGTTGGGTTTTTGCTTGGCGTCGTGATATTAGAGGAGGGGTTGAACAAGAGCAGCTTGCGAGTTTGATGTCTTTGTTGGATGGCTTTCATCTTGGCACGGAGTCAGACAAATGGGTTTGGAATCTTGATAATTCGGGGTGCTTTTCGGTTAAATCGACTAGGAATTGGATCGATGATTCGAGACTTTCGTCGGGTTCCTTGCCCACTCAATGGAATCGCTCATTTGGAGTTTATTGATGGATAGGCTCCCTGTAAGGTCAAAGTTGGTGGAGAGAGGGGTGGATCTTGACTCGGTTTGTGTCCATTGTGTCACGATGCTACTGAAGACGTGTTGCACTTGTTTATTCAGTGCACAATTGCAACTCAAATTTGGAGGCGGGTTAGTCTTTTGCTTGATTTGGATATTCCTGTTTTTATCACTGTGAGAGACATGATGGACTGGATTGATGCGAGGCCTAATGTTAGGCAACAACGACCTATTGTTGACTCGGTATTTTCTGTGGTCATTTGGGTGCTTTGGACGTTCCGTAATGGTATTTTGTTTAGTAGTAATAAGCCTACAAAAGATAGGATTTTTTACTCGATTGTTGATATTTCGTTTCGTTGGTTCTCGTCTCGTAACTCTAAGGCTAGGATTAATTGGAGTTTGTGGCTTCAAAATCCTACTCAATCTTAATGGTCTATATTTCTAGCGTCTTGCTAGTTTTGTTTTAATATATTTGTTTGATGTCGTTCTAAAAAAACAATATGTAGTAAAGATATATAATTATAAACATACATATAAAAAGTGAATCTCTTCGGCGTTAGAAGAAGACATTTGTGATTTACTGGGTTTGAAACGTCTCCAGAATGTAAGTTGTAGTAGTTCGAAACGATCTCCGAAATAAGTGAACTTGAAATTGAACTCCGAAACGGAATTTATAGGTTAGGGGGACCACAAACCGGATCAGGTCGGATCTTATATTGGATCGGTTTGGGTCTTATAATCGTTACCATTTTCCTACAAACAGGTTTGTTTGAAACCTATTACTTTCAAATGTTATCCGTTGACATATTATACTCTCAAGTTGGATGCCAGAAGATCATACTTTTTTAGCTTCAAAATAAGCTATTTGGAGAAAATTATAAAAAGAACTCTATTACTTTCGCATATGAACTTCATAACAATCTTGGGTTTTTCCAATCACAAGTGTAACTTGCAAAAGTCAAAAGTCAAAAAAAAAATCATAGGCCAAAATAGATTTTCGTAGGTGTTGAACTGCAAAAATAATTTTAAAAACAAATCACAAGCCTCTTGCATTTTTGCAAGTGGTGGTGACTTGCTAAAATCTAAAATAAATAAATAAGTCTCCGGCAAACTTAGCACGATGGCCTGCGAAAATTATTTTTATTATGATAATTTTTTCCTGGTTTTTTGTTATATTTTGAATGAAATAAAAAAAATATTATGGTTGTTTTCTCTATAATGATTTACTAATTACTCATAGTTAATTACTGAATATGGTATACTCTTCAAAAGAAGAAGAAAAAAAAAGCATTTGGCAGTAAGAACTAAGAAGTGACTATCTCAATTGAGAAGTCATCGGTGGTTCAAGCTAGGGCGGACCCAAAGGAAGTTAAGAAGGTGCCTATGAACAGGCCATTCTTCCCTAGGGGCCCAAAATTTTTATCCACTTCAAAGGCGTCTCGTTAGATTAATCAATGTTCGCGACTTTACATATTCGGAAAGTGGAAAGCATGAATTTGGTTTGAGTTTATTGATGACCAATACGTGTGAAATTAATGGGAATGATTTGTATCCTTCGTGAGTGACTAAGTGGTAATTTTTTTATTATTTTATAAATTATAAGTTTTAGATCTACTTTTAATAAACTGTATAGGGCCTCCGTAATCTTGGGAGCCGACCCTGGTTCAAGCTCTCTATAAACATAGATTGTTATTGGGTATAGGTTAGTTGTCTTTTTAAAAAGAAAAAAAAAGTATACTCGTTAGGAAATAAATTCTCTAACATGTTTAACGTAAGTAATTCATTGTGTATTTAAATGAGTTGTATTTATTTTTATATCTTATCTACTTTTTTTTAAACACCCCTTAAATCAATGTAAACGTGAATGTTACTTTCCAAAAACGGTTTTATGAAGAAAGAGGCGATTTTCTCACGAAGACAGTGGACCAACGATGTTATCGTGGGTCCGTACGGCAGCATATCCCGGACCCCGTTGAAAAGAAGAAAACTATAAATATAAAAAAGGCACAATCCTACGACATCCATCCGCCATGGCTTCAAAAGCGAGGAAGTGGGCAACAATCATTTCTTTCACTGCTTCCAGAATATTCTTTTTCTTCATCTTCTTCCAAATTCCTCTTTTCAGGTATCAATTTTATCGCTTCTTTGTTAAATCCATATGCTGACATTTTAATCTGCAACTTGTTCATCGAAAACCGTTGATTGAGACGTTAATTTTGACCTAATTATCTTTATGCATTCGACATTCGTGCTTCGACATCAGAAGCTTTTGCATTTTGATATTCATGCAGCAGTCTGATTTTTAATTACTTTTTTTACGAAAACGGTTCTCTCGATTAGGTTTTTTTTCCTACATTGAAGTGATTTAATGGCAATGCGGAAAGAAAAATCTGTTCACGCTGTTATGATCACAGTTTACATTCGCAAATCGTTAATTGAATGATTAAATTTGTCCTAATTATTATTATCTTATCCGCAATCTGTTTTTAGTTACTTCATTTACAGTTTCTGCGCAAAATCAATTCTTCCTCGTTGATCTTCCCACTTTTTCTACAACGAAGTGATTTAACAGCAATGCTTACAGATCAGATGCTAACAGTTTTATCGCATTTTTTTAATTCATGTGTTAACAGTTTACATCTGCATTTACTTCCTAAATTTGACCTAGTCATCATTACATCATGCGCCAATCTGTTTTAAATTACTTCACTTTACAGTTTCTGTGGAAAACCAGTTCTTTCTTCAGCTCCTGTTCATCTTCCAACAGAAATTACGTTTTTTTTTTCTACAATAAAGTGATTCAATGGCAATGTGTAAAGAAAGATGAAGAAAATTTGGGATTTTTCAAGAAACAGTTATTGATACATATATAATTGTAATATTTATGCAGATTCCCATGTAGAATTGGAACATGCATGACACCAATGGAGCTAACATCTTCTCATTTACTTGCAAGTGAAGTAATTCCTTCAGGGGTAGTGACAGCTGTCCTTTACCCTGGAGCCATTGCAAAAGCTCTTTTCAATGATAAACCTATTCCAAAATACAATGCCTTATTAGACTCATACAAGTTAAAAAATCTCAAGCAAAACCCTTCAGTTACTGATCTTCAACATATCGAGGTTTGTTTTTTTTAATAAATTTACGTCATAATTTGGTAATAATAAATTTAAAAAATGACGAGAAATCCATTTTTTGTTAGGTTTTAGCAGGGAGTTATTTGGCAATTGCTGGTGCGATGATAGGGTTGTATAGATCAAGGAGGTTGGGGTTTTTTGGTATGATTTTGTTAATTTGGGGACTTTCTAAAGAACCCCATTTCTACAAAAGACATGAAGTTTTCAAAAATTACAAAAATGCCATTTCGGTTTACTCCCCGACAATGTCTATCACGGTCGTTTCGGCGTTCCTTTCTATAAGAAATGATGTTAGGAAGATTGTTTCTTATTTCAAGTGGAGTTTTTCAAAGTCTAAATACAAATGAAGCTTTCGAAAAATCATGTATTTTCTTCTTTTCTTATTTAGTCCAAATTGGTTCATATGTTAGAATTTCTTTCTCATTGATGGTTCATGGAATGCTTATATGTTTCCTTTCTAGTTACATTTTTTATGTTATATGTTTGAGATGTGGTCAATAAATAAAACTTGCATTAACTATGTTTCGGATGAATGAGTTGAAATTATTTGCATTATTCTATTTAATTTATCATCCATAAACCATAATGACTTTTAGCGTGTTTAACTATGCCATTTTGAACATGTGCAACTCTTCGTGCCAACCCTTTTTTTGGCAAAAAAAAAAACAATAAAAAAAAAAATCAAACTGTATCAATCGTGATTAATGAAATGAGAGAGAATGTCTTTTTGATGCCATTGTAGAAATCAACGAAACATATATTCTATGTGGATAACAAAACATATATTTTATGTGAATGAATTAATTTATTAAGTGTACTGCATCATCCGAAAAATCTCGATGGTCATCGGCGGCAATGGTTTGCTCCGAAGGGAGTATCCAATCGTCACAACTATGTTCGTCACCAACCTACCTGATGGAACTCGAAAGGAGACTGTTAAGAAGATATTTTCAAGATATGGGAGTATATCAGATATTTACATGGCGACAAAGAAAGATTCAAACAAGAAAAACTTTGCTTTTGTCAGATTCAAAGGGGTGCAGGACAAGATGCAATTGGAGGCTTCCCTGCAAGGACTGAAATGTATGGGTTCAGTGCTGGAGATTAATGTAGCAAAGTTTGAAAGGAAAGCAGTCTCGGCAAGCCCAGGCTGGCTCAGAACATCGAAGGTAACAAGAAAAAATTGCACCATAATGCTTTGGGCTCGTTCCGGGATGGCAGATCTTTTGTTGCGGTATTATCTAGGAGTGACGGTCGACCTCCCCCTCCTCCACCCCCGGAGTTAACTAAGGTGTTGTTTGTTTTTCCGAAGTGAAACTGTCTGAAGTCTGCGGACCACTTCTGCAACCCTCTGCAGCAGAAGAGGTGGACCAAAGTGTTGCAGACTGTAATGAGAAGCATGTTTGTTTTTTTAACTTCTGCAGACTGCTATAAATATTAAAAAATTTAAAATAAAGTAATTTAATAAACCGAAAATAGTTTTTTAATACCAAAATTTTAATAATTGTAGTCTTAAAACATTGAAATAAAATTCAAACAACAAAATTAGTCTTACAATAACATTTTTAAATAAAATTCATACAATCAAACTTTAATAATTTCCATTCCATATTTTGCATCAATTGTTCGGCAATTTCATCCCGTAATTGGGTCATATATTCACGGTCCGCTGCAGTACCATGTGTTGGAATCTCATCTGCATCATTATCAACGACTGCATTGTTATTCCGAACCGAGACATTTTGTTCATCATATCGTACAAAATACTCATCATGTAGTCCCTCTCTTCTTATAAAATTATGAAGCGCAAAACATGCTAGGGTAATGTTTCGTTGTGTAACCAACGAGAATGGTGTCATCCTCTTCAATATAGGGAATCGTGCTTTCAAGACACCAAAAGCACGCTCAATGACATTCCGAAGTTTTGCGTGTGTATGGTTAAATTTTTCTTTATTCGTTAATGCACGTATTCGACGGAAATCTCCAAGCCAATACCTCACATTACGGTACGGTGCCATAAAACCTCGAATGTTTGCATAGGCGGCATCACAAAGATATTATTTATCTGTAAAAAAAACAAAAAAAAAGTCATTTATTTTTCAAACTAAGATAAAACTATTTAAATAACCATAAATTTACCTGATGGTGGAAGCGGGAATGGTGCATGTGGATTTGCTAATGCTTCTGATAAAATTCTAGAATCGTGTGCTATCCCTTCCCAACCGGCCACAACAAACGTAAACATCATGTTGAAGTCACATATTACCAATACGTTTTGGTAACAATCGCATTTTCCCCTACTTCTATATAAATCTCGTTTGTTTGAAGGGACAACAACATGTATCAAAGTGCCATCGAGTGCACCAACTGCTCCCTTGAACACCCGTCGTAGCCTCCTATTATGTCCCGGAATGTTTGGATTCGGATTAAAAGAAGTTGGTACTATAATGTCATGTGCGAAAAGCAACATTTTGTCCAACACTTCATGAAAAGAAGTTGGATTCGGATTAAAAGAAGTTGGTACTATAATGTCATGTGCGAAAAGCAACATTTTGTCCAACACTTCAAGAAAAAACTTATGAATTGTTTGCTTTGAGTGTTGAAATCTCCACTTGATAATCACATAACGTTGGTTATGACCGATCATCATCAAAAACATAGCCATCTTCTCCTCAACCGACACATGTTTGTTATCCTTTAACGCGTAGTTTACTCTAAAATGAGCACATAGCCGGACAAATGATTCAAGGGACATGTGTAGCACTTCAAGACATTGTAGAGGATTACGGTGAAGTAACTCTAATGTAAATTCATGTCCCGTCATTTCCGAATCGTTGTCCCGCACTCGTTTGACACCCCTCTTCCAAAAGTAGCGGAAGTACAAGTACATTAGAATTATGAGTAGTATCTTTTTGACGTGATCCATTAGGAACCTATTAATCAACACAAGTACCAAATAAAAAAACATAAAACTGAAGTACCAAATAACATAACCAAATAACCAAAATACATAACCACATAGTTCAAGTACCAAATAACATTCAAGTACCAAATAACCACATACTGCAAATAACATTCAAGTACCAAATAACCAAAAAACATAACCACATAGTTCTAACACATGCAATTAAAACCTAAACAATTCAAATATGTAAACTTAACGGACAATCTTTCTATCCTTCAATACTCCTAAACTTATAGTTGTCATCTCGATCCATCCTCTTAATATATGTGGATCATTAGGCAAATTTACCCACATCTCTCTCATATTCATGGTCCCTCCAAAAATATGATAAGAAGCAAATCGTAGAGGGTCTACTAGGCCTAACTCGAGTAACTCTAGCTTCTCTAAACATTGGGGAATTGTTGGCCCTTGAGTCAAATGTCGTAGAGCTTTCTGCATCTCCAATGTTAAATCATCAGCAGTAATAGAAGCTTTAGGGGAGGCACTAGAAGGTGGCTCAAGTGAGGCACTAGCAGCTCGAGGTCTAGGAGTTGAGGGTTTAGCTCTTTTGTTGGGTTACCAGAAGGTGAAGCAGCAGAAGGTGAAGCAGCAGTAGTATGATTGGAAAAGAAATCATCATCATCTATGTTAACAGAAGGGGTGTCCATAAGCTGTAGTGGTGCGACATGGAAAGAAGATGATCCATGTCCCGATGGTGTTTGGGATGTGGCATAGCTGAGATTACCAGAGGCACTATTTCCATCAAAGAGTTCTGCACAAAGCTCTGGAAACAACAATGGGACAGTTTTCAAAGAAGCGGCTTTCGGATGTCCCTAAACCCAATCAATGTAACAAAAGTAGTATAAGAATAAATGGCAATTATATAAACAAAATACATATTAATATGTGTGTGTGTGTGTGTGTATATATATATATATATATATATATACCTTTTTAAAGTCCTCCCACTCCTCATTTGTTAAGTTAAAAGTGTTTGTTTGAGGATTGTAAAGGTTGTCAGTTTTGTTTTTCAAATATAACCATCCCGTGTATTTGGCTTTAAGGTTGTCATAAGCGTTTTTCAATTGTCTTTGACTCAAATCCACACCAAACTTTTCCTTAATGGATGTTCCTAATTTGTTCCATGAGTGTTTGTGCAAACTCAAACCTTTTCTACCCACAGTTTGTACTTCTTCAATACAAGTGTTCAATAAGAATTTTGTTTGCTCATTGGTCCATGTATGTTTATCTACCATTGCTAATAAAAAACATATGGAATACATACTTTAGCAAACATAACCTTATACCAACAACTTTCAGCATACCAACAACTTGTATGGATTAAAATAACCAATTTCAGCAAAGATTATTCATATTTCAGCAACAATTATGACACTTCAACAACATTTTATGACATTTGAACAATATTTCATGACATTTCAGCAACAATTTGTGACAATTCAGCAACCATTTGTGACATTTCAGCAACAATTTGTGACAATTCAGCAACCATTTGTGACATTTCATCAACAATTTATAACAATTCAGCAACAATTTGTGACAATTCAGCAACAATTTATGACAATTCATCAACAATTTTATGATATTTCATCAATATTTCATGACAATTAAGCAACAATATCTGACTTTTAAGCACAAATTGAAGACATTGCAGCAAGAACTTTATCATTTATCAAGATAGAAACAACATCATCAACTATTTGATAATATTAGCATCAAGATTAAGCAAGAACAAAGATTCAACAACAAAAATCAAAAAATTAATATCAAGCATGAACAATGAAGTAATTCCACCAACAAAATCGGAATGTTGAATAACCCCAAGCAGATGCGCTGCCTTCAGCAGCAAAAAACGAAAAAAAAAAAACCATACCTGCGATGAGGGACTGCTGGAAGGGGTCTGCGACGGTGGTGGCTGCACTGGGAGGAGGAGATTGGTCGACGGGAGGTGGGAGAAAGAGAGGCGCAGCGCGATCGAATTCTTGGAACGAGAAGCTGTGGAGAACGAGAAGCTTTTGGCCGCTTTTTTTTAGGTTTAGGTTGGTTTGAAGAGGTTAGAAGTAATTTTCAAGTGTTGTCCCAAGAAGAGGACGGGAAGAGGTTTTTAACTTCGAAGTCTGCGAAAAAACAAATAGTTGCGGAATAGAAAGTGTTGCGTGTGTGCTGCGCCGCGCAGCACAAAGAGGTTTGAAAAGGTTTTTAATAAAAAAACAAACACCACCTAAAAAACCTATCACCCTTGTGGATGATTCGTTCTGGGCGCATTGGATTCGCAGTCCGTTTACTTTAATTGGAGTCGTACACAGCCTAGAATAACTAAGGAACCTGCCAACGGGGATAAGGCTGGGGCAGTCCTTTGCCTATGGAATGAAATACATGGGGGGGGACTATCGGTCGGGATTCGATTCCGAAATGATGGCGATGTCAAAGAATTCCTTATGAATGAGAACTATTGGGGGAAATGGTTCAGTGAACTTAAAGTTGGAAATTCCTACGACGAGTTGTCTGGGAGGATTGCATGGTTGAAGATTATTGGCCTGCCCCTACACATGTGGAGCGAAGGAAACTTTGCTCGAATTGTTGGGACGGTTGGTAAGATTTTAAGTCCAACGGAGATTCTAATTTGTCTGCAAGATGTTTTGTGTGGGAAGATTTGTGTCCTTACGGAACGAAAGACGAAAATCAATGAAGAGGTAGCAGTGGAATCAAATAAGAATATACTATGGGTGGGAATTAACGAAGTTGATTTTGACTGATCTCCTTTTCCATCGGGTCACTGGTCAATGGACGATCGTGATGGGAAGAATGGATATTGTGATATGGAGAACTCGGTGGAGATGGATGATTCAAACCCTGAGGGAGACGAAGATGGTATTTCAGAGACAACTAACTCGTCAAGAAGGGAACCTACTGATGAAGGTTTGTTCGGTGACGAGTTGGAAGAAGGAGAATTCTTTATGATGGTAATATTGGGGCTGAAAAGAAGGTTGTATCGGAGTTGATGGTTGTGGAGTGTGAGCCCTCGTCGGAAACCAGGTCTCAGGTGGGTGAAACGCCGGTAACAGAAGCCCATCTGTCGGGGTGGACCCAATTCATGGGGAACTTCAACCGTCTCCTAGGATTAAATGCCAACAGGTGAATAGAGACTCTGACCATAGTGTTGACTGCTCAACTGATGTCGCGACTTCTGAGGTAAATAAGGTGAATAATCTTGGTTCAAATTCGCACTTAGTAAAATCTGGGTGTTTTGGGCCATTTAAAAGTGGGCCGGTAAACAATGGTGGTAGGAAACTTCCTAAATCGTTTGGGCCTCTACTTGGAAATATGGATGATTTGGATCTGGATGTTGAATTTCTAGCTGATGGGTCTAATAGGAAGAAGACGCGACGCTCCTCTCCTCCTCGGTTAGATTTGAATTGCAACCCCAGCAGCTCATTTGCTTCTGATCACGTTCCGGATGGTGACGATGATGGTTCAGCTTCGAACCACACCACTCATCCCTAGGGTCCGAATACGCATCCTCATCGGCCTGTCGATATCACCAAGACTGCCCTCAGTGTGGAGATTGGTAAATTGGTCGATGTAGACATTGAAATTGGGAATGAAGTCTTAGAGGAGGTAATGGGTATGGATGGTGGGAACAATATTCCCCAATGAATATGCTCTCTTTGAATGTAAGAGGAATTGGTGAAGCCCCAAAGCAAAGGTGGGTTAGGAGATTATGCTCAGAGCACAGGGTCTCGGTGATGTGCCTCTAGGAATCCCAATGGGGTTTGGCCTCTTCACCCCAATTAAATATTTGGAACTGCTGGATAAACAACAGCTTTGGTTTTGAATTAATTGTAGCAACTGGGAGATCCGAAGGGTTGATTACAATTTGGGACGATGGGGCTTTCAGAGTATCAGATACAATAAAAACAATGCATTTTTTGATTGTTTTTGGTCGATGGGTGGGCATAAACATCGACCTTGCCATTGTAAATGTTTATGCGCCACACTCCCCGGTGTAAAAGAGAAGAATTTGGAGAAATCTAGCTCAAATCAAATCTAGTACAATGGCGATTTGGATCCTTGCTGGAGATTTTAACGCGGTTTGTAGAAGGGAGGAGCGGGTTAATTCCAGATTTTGTCATGTTTCTGCTGATGACTTCAATGAATTTATTCTCTCATGTGCTCTACACGATTTAAGAATGAGGGGATACAAGTTCACATATTTTAGACCTGAAGATGGTGGTAAGATGAGCAAATTGGACATATTTCTAGTATGTGATAACTTTATGGATTCCTTTCCGGGATCCTCGGTAACGGTCCTCGCTAGGGTATTATCGGATCATAGCCCCATTTGTGTTGAAAACATCCTGTGAGGACTTTGGTCCAAGACCATTCAGATTTTTCAATTCATGGATGTCAAGGGTGAGTTTTCATGATGTGGTGCTGGAGGCATGGAAGAATTTCAAAGGCCATGGGTGTGCTGATGCTTTCCTGGCTACTAAGCTTCGATTCTTAAAGAAGGAGATTAAGAGATGGTGGGAAATTGGTCTCGCTTCAGAAACTAAGGAGTTGGAAGAATGCAGGAATAAGATATCATAGCTAGATATTGCAGCGGAATCTAGAGCGTTGTTGCTCCATGAGTTGGGTAATCGGTCCAGCTGTGTCCGTAGGATTGCAGATTTCTAGTATGTGATAATTTTATGGATTCCTTTCCGGTATCCTCGGTAACGGTCCTCGCTAGGGTATTATCATATCATAGCCCCATTTGTGTTGAAAACATCATGTGAGGACTTTGGTCCAAGACCATTCAGATTTTTCAATTCATGGATGTCAAGGGTGAGTTTTCATGATGTGGTGTTGGAGGCATGGAAGAATTTCAAAGGCCATGGGTGTGCTGATGCTTTCCTGGCTGCTAAGCTTCGATTCTTAAAGAAGAAAATTAAGAGATGGCGGGAAATTGGCCTCGCTTCAGAAACTAAGGAGTTGGAAGAGTGTAGGAATAAGATATCATGGATAGATATTGCAGCGGAATCTAGAGCGTTGTTGCCCCATGAGTTAGGTAATGGGTCCAGCTATGTCCGTAGGATTGCAGATCTCGAAAGGGTGGCGGCAATGGACTTGAAGCAAAAGGCGCAAGTGAAATGGATGGCTGACGGGGATGAAAACACCTCCTTCTTCCATGGTTATGTGAATAACCAAAACAGGAGGAATAAAATACACAGGCTGGTGATTAATGGTCAATTGGTTTCGAGTCCTGACGCCATTAAAAGTGAGATTTTCCAGTATTTTTTGGGGAAATTTGAAGAAAAATGGAAGAGTTTGCCAAAAATTAGAAGCAACATATTCAAAAAACTTTCACCAGAGACGAGCTCCTCCCTTGAGTTACCTTTCTCTGTTGAGGAAATCAGGAATGCAATATGGTGTTGTGGATCGAAAAAGGCCCCGGGACCGGACGGATTCTCCTTCAAATTCTTTAAAACTTACTGGAATATGCTAAAGTGTGATATTATGAGATTTGTTAGATCATTTGAACAGAGGGGGAACTTTTCGATGGGATGTAATTTGTCATTTATCTCCCTTGCCGCCAAGATAAAGGATCCATTCTCTTTAAACGACTACAGACCAATAAGTCTTATTGGAGCTTTATATAAGATTGTTGCTAAAACATTGGCGATCCGGGTGAGAAAATATATTGGTATGTGCATTGATGATGTGCAATCGGCTTTTGTGTAAGGAAGAAACATTCTTGAGGGTCCATTGATAATAAATGAGGTGTGCTCCTGGGCGACAAAAAGTTACAGGAAAGTATTACTATTCAAGGCGTATTTCAACAAGGCGTTTGACTCCGTGAATTGGGAGTATATTAACTCGGTTATGAAACAGATGAACTTCAGTTTAAAATGGAGAAGATGGATATATGGATGCCTTACGTCGGCAAGGGCGTCGGTATTGGTCAATGGCAGCCCAACGGCAGAATTCCCTTTGTCTAAAGGGGTGAGGCAAGGAGATCCATTATCTCCTTTCCTCTTCATAATGACGATGGAAGGTCTTAATGTTATGATAAAAGCGGCCAGAGAAAAAGGGATATCCGACGGGATCCGCATTCCAAATACTAACATCTCTCTTTCTCATCTATTTTACGTAGATGATGCTTTATTTAGTGGAGATTGGTCAACGAAAAATGTCTCCAACCTTGCTAGAATACTTCGGTGTTTCCATGTTCTGTCAGGGTTAAAGGTGAACTTCAACAAGTCAAGGGTCTTTGGTGTTGGAGTTGAATTTGAAGAGGTGTGTGATTGGGCTAGACCATTGGGATGCGCCCCATCTTCTCTTCCTTTTACTTACCTTGGAGTCCCAGTTGGTGAGAATATGAAGAAGCCGATCATTGATAAATTCCATTCTAAACTCTCCTTGCGGAAGGCTGAGACATTGAGTTTTAGTGGGAGGATGACTTTGGTGAAGTCTGTACTCGAAAATCTTCTAACTTTTTACCTCTCATTATTTCCAGCCCCCACTGGAATCATTGAAGAGCTTGAAAAGATCCAAAGGCAGTTTCTATGGAGGAGTGGCTCGGAAAAGGCAACTGTGTATTGGGTTGCATGAGATAAACTAAAAGCTCCTAAGGATGTAGGCGGGGCAGGCTTGGTTTCTCTAAGGAATCTAAACCTGGCCCTACTTGCCAAATGGTAGTGGAAGTTCAAATCAAGCCCTCAATCTCTCTGGGCCCGAATTATATGTGGTTTCCATAACCCTACAAACTGACCTTGGTATTGCTTTGCAAAACATAAATAGGGGTGGGGTATGGTCAAGTATTGACAAAGCTAAGAATGGATTTTGGAAGTTGAATATAGATGTGAAGGAGATAATAAATACGAATGATGGGGGGGATTAACGTGGAGATCCGACTATGTGGTGAATGGGAATTTTTGCGTGGCGGGGTTGCGGAGTAGACTTGACAGAGCATCTCATCCGGTTTGTGATGGTGAGTTTTGGTGGTTGAATTTGGTTCCTAAAAAGGTGGTGAGTTTTATATGGCGTGCAAAACAGGGAAGGATCCTATCAGCAGAGGCGTTATATAGGAGGAACATTCATGTCCCATCCCCAATGTGCGGGTTATGTGCAGACATAGAGGAATCAGTTGCCCACATTCTCATCTCCTGCAGTCTAGCGAAGGATATTATATGTAACACCCATAAAAAATATGCCAAATTTAAACTTTTTAAAACATTTAAAAACCAATAGTTATTACAATTTTGTTTTCAAAATAGTCTATATCGGAGTCTCCCAGAAACAAAGTCATAAAAGGTGAGGAGTTGTACGATCACGTCTTTGCCTTGCCGCGATCCCCTGATGTACCTGAAACAATAAACTGAAACTGTAAGCCCGAGAGCTTAGTGAGTTCCCCCAAAATACCCATACACACGATAATACATATATAATCATAAACAGCATACTATGGGTCCAGTCAACCATCGGGTTGGAATACCCTAGGCCCTCAACCATCCGGTTGGAATGCCAACATATTATGGGTCAAATCATCCTCGGGGTGGAATACCCCAGGCCCACAACCAACAGGTTGGAATGCCCACATACTATGAGTCCAATCATCCTCGGGATGGAATACTCACGGCCCACAACCAACAGGTTGGAATGCCCAGGTCTATTGGCTTTCGCACAAAAGCAGATAAACCTCAACCGCCAAACAAACATGTGCACATATAATATATAATCACATAACAGTCTATAGACAAACAAACCGATCTATCGGATCATACCACACAATACCATTCTATCTACCAGGATACCAATCTAACAGATCATACTAGCATAACATATCCAGATGACAATCCAAAGGGCCGGCCTTGGTGCCCTAGACCCTTGAGTATAGTGAGGATAACTCACCTCGCAAGTAGTGCCAAAGTACTAAAAATCTCTGATTGCTATCTCACCGTAAATCCCGAACTATTACACAATAAATACTAAGTCAATACACAAAATAACAGTCTTGACTACAGTCCACACAATCCATCATGTCCTTTCTCTTTATTGGGCCAAGGCCCAATGCCAAATCCAAAATCTTGAAAGTCCTTATGTAAAGCCCATTATTGGCCCAATTTTACCAAATTGGGCCCAACTCCCTAATTGGGCCTAATCCCAAGATCCATTATCAAAATTTGGCCCAAAACATCTTATTCATAAAGTCCAGCAAAGGTCCAAATCCAATTAGTCCATAAACAGCCCAAACCCGAAGCCCAATTGTCAAAGGTCCAACAGAGGACGTACGCGGGGCGTACTCCTCTGGTACGCGGGGCGTACTCGTCCAGATGTTTGACCACCATTGGGGTGGTTGACCCAGTACGTTGGGCGTACGCAGTGGTTTGCCAAAATCTTATTAAGTGCTTAGCTTAAGCACTTAAGCCCAAATTTCAGATCCAATGACCTAACGTGCCTAGGACCCATAAAGTCACGAACTTTATCACTTTGGACGTCCAGAAAGCTCTTAATACTTGGTT